AGCGTAAACACTGTTCATAGTTGGTCTCAAAGCCCTGGTCTCCCCTCTGATAATAAGGGTCTTCAATGATGGTGTGCTTCTGGGGGTCGTATTTGCCCAACAACTCGACCACAGCTTTGCTTCCTCTAGGCTTCATATCATTGATGTCTTCAATGTTGTTGTCATCCATACCGAAGATGTAGTCAAAGCGATGGAAGTCCTCTTCGCGCAACTGTCGGGCCCTATGATTGGTGTCGATTCCGTGTCCTTTCAACACTTTGAGGGCTCGTGAGTCGGGTCGTGAGCCTGTGTGGTAACCAGCTGGGATCAAGTATCCAACACATCATATCATTGACTAATTAGTGGCCAGACATTGAATGCAATACCTGTGGCGGCGCTATCAGTGAACCATTGGCTTTGAAGACCTCTTTGTGCGATCACGTGGTTGAAGACGGCCTCTGCGATGGGCGACCGACAGATGTTTCCCAAACACACCATCAAAACGCCTCTCTTTTGGTCCATCTCTTCGCCCATTTGGTCACAAATCCAACGAATTGACGGATCAATTGACGGATCAATCAAATTGATGGCAAGTCTTCACAACTCGTGTTTATAAACAATAAGTCGACGACTATTTCGTTCATAAATTACATAATCGTTGAGAAGTTTTAAACTTTTTAAATGCAATCAATGAAAGACTTGTCTCTCAATAATAGACTCAATTATAGCCGTAATACTGATTCATAATTCAAAACCACTCGTATATGAAGACTGTCGGGTAAATTCAGTCATAAAAACTAACCATGGTTATACTTTTCATACTTAAAGACAATGAGATTCTGTATATACTATATAGCTACACTGTACCTGCTACAGTAATATTTTAAAATAATTTTAAACCATTAATTTTCTGGCAAATACAGTAACTTATATAGTTTATCATAATATTTGAATCGATACATTCAGAAAATCACAAATTATTTATATTTTATTAAATAATTATTTCAATTAAAGTGATTACACACAAGCAAAATACATGTGTTTTATATAAGCTTAGATACTTTTACACGGGTATCATAACAATATTTTGTGAAAAGCTTCAAATATTATCGAGTTAATAAATATATTTTTAAATTAGATCTTTTATATAAAATTATAGCAAAATTTGTCTGTAATTTGATTACCGGCATATACTTAAACAATAATTCTGACAAATATTTTAATTAACAAATAGAGTATTTGTGTTTTGATTAGCTGTATTTGTCAAATCTTAGCTGTATTTTAACCCA